TGGTGGCTCCACAGGATATGTATTGTTAAGGAACATGATAAAAATCATAAGACAAAGTGAATTTATGATCTCAAACACAGATTTTACATTACTGAATAGGGGGCAAGGGACAGGAAGAGGAGGACTGGTAACTTCCAACATCCACAAGCAAGGTGCTGTGGTGTGGATGTGACGGGGTTTGCCCCTAGCTATAAAAAGGAATCAGAAAATTAAGACCTAAACAGGCCTTGAAGAAATCAGGCAACAGAACTGGAAGAATTAAGCTCCTTTTGGTGTAGTTTGCTTTTATTCTGGATCTGTAGGCATGTCTGTCTGGGGCTAGTGAATTAACCTCTTTCAGTCAGTTCACTTTTTCAGCTGTCTTCACCACTGCTTGATGCACAATTGATTTGAATCAACTGACAGTCAATTCAATCTCTCATTAAAACTGGCTGAAAACAATGAATTAGACTTCTTTCTCTACTTGTGCCTTGGCAGCCTAGAACTGTGGGTGAGGTAGTGGTATCTTAGCAGCAGATTCTTCAAAATCAATGTTCTGAGTCTTGCATAGGGTTGTACGTGGGGCGTTAAGGGGCAGATGTACAGATACTGTGAGCTTGGGGCAGAGTAGGGAAAGAACATAAAGCCAGTGAGCAACATTACCAGGGAAGAGTGTCATGTCTAAGGCTATTTGAAAAATATGTGCATAGTTTCACTGTTAAAATAAGAATGAATCCTGCTAGCCTTGTGTGCCAAAGGCAATGTTATTTATAAGCATACGTTTTATAGTTGGAAATATATTTTGCCCACACAAGGTGAGCACGGCTCATATGATGAACCCATGCACCCCTGTATAAGCAAAAACTAAGCTAAAAAAGGAGGGTTGGCCAAGGCAGTCCTGCCCCTACCTCTGTCTCCGTAAGCTCTCTCAAATCTTTCCACAATGTCCCAGCTTTCCCTAAGTGTATTTTCTTTTTAAACTCAAAGAAAAAGGAAAACACACAAGGCTAAGACCTTCAGTCCAAGGTAATTTTTCCCCTTTCCTTCAAACTACTACATTTGAAGGAAAAAACAAGCTGACTCTGTTTAGATCAATTCATTATGGTGGACCCATAGTATATCAAAAACTGAAGTGTTTGAGGGGATCTGACAATTCCTTGCCCAGGAACCTAGAAAGAGTTCCTCACTACATCCGTCCGCAAAGTGGTCCTGTTACTGCCGCTCTGTGGCCTAGAAAGAAAAGCAGAGCTCTCTGGGATTGTAATTAATTTCTGGAGGAAGAAAAGGTGGCACGAAGTATTCCCTTGACTTCCTCTAGAAATAAGCAGGAGAACTCAGAGATGAAGGGCTGTGTTGGTGAGTCGCTTCCTAATTCCCTTCCTTTTCCTGATGACATCCACTCAGGCTGTGCTTCCCACAGTGCTGAGCGTCCCTCCCCCTGCCCACCTTCCTCCATCCCTTGCAGCCTGTGCAGGCAGTGGGAGGCCCCTGACTTCACCAACTGCGTTTGTAGCATCCTAATAGCTTCCTGACCCATCTGTTAATTAGCCATTAAAAACAGAAGAAAAAGAAGAAGAAGCCACAGAATTCCTCCCTCAGAATGATTCTCATCTCTAAGACACTAATGAATCAACTCAGGGCAAGGAGGAGGGAACAGGTTTGGATGTGAAACCGCTCGCAAGGAATAGAATGTCTAAAGGAGGTTGCCTCCTATCCCCTTCCTGGGCATAGCCCACATTCCACCGCCTTCCTGGAGAACACCACAGCCTTTCGCTAAGTAGACAACTCCAGCGCAGCACTGCAGAGCCACTGAATAAACACTAACACCAGCAGATGTCTGCAGTCAGTCAGCCTGCACTTCAGCCTGAGCAGTTGTAGATGAGGAAAGGAGTAGAGATCCTAGTGGGAAAAGGGTTCTCATCAGGAAAGGCTGGCTGTCCACATGCAGCAAATGGCCCTGCCTTTGGCCCCTGTGCCCTCTCTTTCTCCTCTATGGGGTTCTGCTGGCGGGGTCTACTTGGTGCTCGTCGGCTACAGTCAGTGGAGAGCCGGTAGTTTCCCCACACACTGACTTCTCATTTGGAAACAGGACAGCAAGGTCTAATTACTCTGGAAAAATTAAAATCTTTCCCATAGGGGATGTGAGAAAGTCCTGCCCTAAGGAATATATGTTCCTAGCAGAGGGCAGAGGGCTGGGAACACAGAGGCCCACCCATTCATTCACTGCTTTTAAACTCCCACAAATATCCCTTCCAATGAGACTGTTCTCATCGAAACTCCCTAGACTCAGCTCAAGTAGCGTCTTCAGGGAGGATCACACACCAGAATAGCTCTACTTCTCTTTTCAGCAAGGAAAAGTCTTTGCTAAGCTATTTCAAAGAATCTGTAACTGAAAGTACATCTTACTTCTCCTTTTGACCTCTGACAGTGCCCCTTCCTTCTGCTCCCCAAATTCCCGAGGGAAAACATTATGGTGTGAAGGTTTATCTCCTCCATCACTCCCTCCTTTTCCCTGCTTCAATTCCCCAGTAAGGAGCATAAACACCTACCAGGAATGCAAAGCAGCAACCTCTGAGATGTGAACCGATACAGCAGCCCCATCCAGGAGTCTTAGTTATATGAACACTCACCCTCACGTGCTTGAAAAGAAGAGAATGAGATGGGATTCTGCTGTGCTCAAAGTACCCAGATTGAAAATGAAGTTTCCCAGACCTGCCCAAGGTCATTTGCAGAGCGTCCTAGATGGCTCTCTCAGGTTCTGTCCTCCTGCATGTCCCCCACGCCTCACCTGTACAGACTGACAATATCCCTACCAAGCAGCCCAGTATGATGGTACCCAAAACACTGACCAGGCAAGACTTCGGTTGTTGGAAGAGGATCTGTGAACTGAATAAAAACAGAAGGTAAACTTGAGGGGGAAACATCCCATACTTATATAATGGTCTGAAGGCCTGAAATTCACCTTTTCCCAAGGTTACCTTTCTTTCCCAGCCCCAGAGAGAAACTGCCCCCAGGATATCACCATAATTACCTTTATTTGTGATAGCGGCATCTGAGCAGTGAAGAGGGAAGAAATATCCAGGGGAACAGGGACTTATCCAGGGTCACATGCCAATGCCAGAGTCTAAAAATGTCTGCTTGCAGCAGCTGAGACCCTCATAGCACCATAGCAAATTATGAATAAACTGCATGAGGCGACAGGGTGAGGGTAGCAGGCAGCTTTCTCTAAGAGTGCACAGAACAATGGCTCAGGGAAGAGATGGAGCCAAAGAAACGTTCGTGGATATCCATCAACAAGAGGAAAAGGCTTGATAAGACAAGCACATGAGGAAGAGGGAACAGACAAGCCTCCAAGCACTGCCACAGAGGTAGAGGGATGGGATGGACCAGCACAGCTACTATGGGAAGACACCTCCCCATGTGCAATTCCTTATCTGTCTCTCAAGCTGAAGGAAGCTAGAGTCTTTTCCAGAGAAGACTCAAAGGAGGGAGTATCTTGCCCTTATTTTGCTCATTGTCCTACCTGTCTTCTGCATTTGAGAGCCAGGACTGATCACAGACCACTGCTCACGATTGTCCCATCAGTGTCCAAGGCCAGTCCAGGCACTGAGTAAAGCTATATTGCCTGAGAAATAAGGTGGGGGAGGAAGAGAAATCGGTGGCAACCTAGGGAGAAGAGAGTTATAAATGGGTGCTCCCTTTGGAGTCACCCTAATTCCAGCACTTGAGTTCAGAGTACCCACACTGCATGCGTTTGACTCAGTAAAACCTGCCGGGAGTATCAGCTTTTCTCAACACCCACAGTATCAAACTGGAAAAAAAAAACAACCCAGCTCTTTCAACATGGCTAGAAATTTCTATTTGGCTCCCTTTCTCTTCAGTAAGGTAGGAGTGATTAATGTCCACAGCAGTGAAGGAAGGAGGTTTTCAGGCCACGGGAATAACAAACAAGTTATAGAAAGGAGCTAGGGGTGGATGAGTCAGAACAGGCTCTGGTGGGCCAACTCAGAAGCAGACATATTGGCGGGGGGGGGGGGGCGCTCCTGGATACCAGGGCAGTACCCACATCATGCACCAGAAAAGGAGGCATTTCCTGTGGCAAGATTTTCAGGATCCCCAGAAGACTCCGTGGAACCACATCTAGCCATTCAGCTCCAGGAAGACACTGGCAACAGAGCTAACTTTGCGTCCCTCCGGTTCCAGGTTTCAGAAGGGAAGGCAAAGCTCCTGCTACCCCCTTGCTTTGGCATCCCAGTGGGTCATGTAGGAGCCAGAGTGATGGGTGGAACGTGGTCAGAACAGAACCACGGAGTCACAGGCTGCCATGTTTTGAGCTCTTGGCCTAAGCTTTGGTATGAGGCAGCCGCCAGGGCCTCTCCCAGGTGTGCCGAGAAAGATGCCCACCAAGTTGAACATGGTAAGAACTGTTAAGTCAGAGAGCTCTGCCTACAGGGCTTAAAAGAATAAGTCTTCCAGTCTCAGCAGGGAAGAGAAGCATCCCACTCGGAGACACACCATCTGTGCTTGGTCAACATGAAATGGAGAAACCTTCCTTCTTCCCAGCAGAGGCAGCCTTTCCCTAACACCCCATTTCTCAGGCCTCAGACCATCGGAGTATACCCTAAAGGACTTGATCCTCTTTCAGTAGAGTCCAACATTATTCAAACCCTACTGAAGATGACACTTTGGTTTTACTCAAACAGCTCAGTGCCCTAAAAGCCTCGATCAAAGTACCCACACGGCATGAAAACGGAGCCAGAATTAGCAAAATTCTTGCACTTGAACTTCATGGACTCCACTGATTCTTTCACTGCCCGTTAAATACCAGCACCACCAAACCACGCATTTCTGGTTCCCAGGGGATGGAAAAGCCAAGACGGTGGGAGATTTACTGTAAGTAAAAGGAGTGACAGTGAAAGTGAATCAGGAGAATCCGTGGGTGCCAGTGGAGAGGACTAGGGAGGTGTAGTAAAGCGGGGAGGCCACGGGAGCCTAGGGCAGCGGCTGGGGCTGACTCTCACCTGTGGATGTTCATCTCCCGTGGAGGACGGTGGGCCTTGTCGTAGGAGACCTTGGCGAAGACGCCAGCCACGATGACGAAGGCGATTACCCCGCAGGTAATGTAGACGGTGAAGTTGGTCTTGTCCTTCTCCGGGTCGTACTTGTTCTCGGGCCCCGGCGACACCACCTTGGTGCTGGGCGTCTGGACCCACACGGGGCTCTGGTAGTTGGTGCACTGGCGCTGGTCCAGCTTCTCGTGGCGCTTCTTGCAGCAGAAGCGGTAGTAGCAGGTGCCGCAGCAGTACAGGTAGCCGCTCTCGCTGTTGTTACACTCGAACTCCTTGTCGTACTGGCCGCTCACGTCGTAGTAGCCCCAGCACGTCTCGTAGGTGACAGTCGCGCTGGCCGCCGCC